GGGCCTGTGGGGGCCCTCGCGCGTAGCCCCCAGCCCCAGGCTGGAGAGGGGCCCAGGGGCCTTGGAACCGTTCCGTGGTAGGTGCTGGGTTGTGTCTTGCAAGGGACCCTGTGTCTGCCTCCAAGCCGGGGAGGAGGGGGGGTCCAGCCCCCAAGGGGAGGTGCCGGGGAGGAGGGCTGGGGGGAAGCAGTGCCTGTGTAGACGTGGCTGTACATAGAAAGCTCTATTGTGGGAAAGCAGGAGGGGTGACCCAGCCTCAGCTGCTAGTGTGAGGGCTGGGAAGGGAGGGGGCGTTCTCTCTGGACCCCTGGGAGGGGAGGGGGTGCTGCTTGCTGACTAGCCCATCTCTGGGCTACGATGTCACAGGGCTGGTGGCTGGGACAGCTCTGGGGACTAGGGGGTAATGTGATACAGCCGATGTGGGCAGCAGCAAATACAAAACTGGTGAGGTTAAGGCTGTGTGTGTCTTTCTGTGGGGTAGGGGAAGGGAGTGTTGGCAGTGGACATGAACCCTTGCTCTGGGGCCCTGGGGAGGGCAGGCAGGGCGGCAAATCAGACACTGTTAAGAAAGTGTACAAACTTTATTGGAACTCACACACGCACACACACAAACACCCCTGTGGATAGGGAAAAGCACCTGGCCACAGGGTCCACAGAAATGGGGAGGGGATGGCAGCTTGTAATGTGGCTTTTGCCACAACCCCTTTCTGACAGGGAAGGCCTTAGATTGAGGCCCCACTTCCCATGGTAATAGGGAGCTCAGAATGGGGGCCAGGGAGAATTTGGTTGGGGAGAGGTGCTAGGGAGGCCTGAGCAGAGGGCACCCACCAAGTGGGGTACCGAGGGCTGCAGAGTCTTCAGTAGTGTCCCTCACAGCAGCTGTCTCAAGGCTGGGTCCCTCAAAGGGGCGTCCCAGCGCAGGGCCTCCCTGCGCAAACACTTGGCGCCCCTGGCTGCGCAGCGGAAGCCAGCAGGACAGCAGTGGCGCCGATCAGCACAACAGATGCCCTGGGTGGTCAGAGGGGGGTGAGAGGGTTGGATGAGATGGGACCTGGTCCCTGGCCATACCCAGCCCCAGGGTGGGGGATGGCACTGACCTGGCGGTAGGGACAGCAGGCCCAGCCCCCTCGGTTGTCTTGGCAGCAGGTCTGGTTATCATGGCAGAAGTGCCCTCCCCCACACTCCACGTCCTGCACACCCACGTGAGGGCTACGGGCCAGGAAGGTGGCAGGCTGGGCAGAGACCACTTCCTTCTCGCAGGATCGGGCCTTCACGTTGCAGGTGTAGCCAGCCGGGCAGCAGTGCTGTCGATCCTCGCAGCACACAGCCTGGCGGGGAAGGGAGCACAGAATGGCGTTACATTCCTGTCCCCTCGCCGGGCTTAGCTCCCCTATCCAGGGGCAGGCAGGGAGGTACTCACGTGGGGCAACTGGCAGCAGGCCCAGCCCCCACCCAGGCTTGGGCAGCAGGTCTGCCCCACTGGGCAGCTGGTGTGCTGGTCGCAGCCCATGTCTCTGGGGTGGGATAAGGAAGCCTGGCGGGCAGGCACCTTCTCCAGTCCAGCCACGATCTCGCTTCCCCGCTGACAACGCCCCTCGGCTACACACGTGTAGCCCTGGGGGCAGCAGTGCTGGTGGTCCGAGCAGCAGACAGCCTAGGGGGTGGGCAGGAAAGGGCGTTCTAGGTAGCCACTATGTGGGGCACAGTGCCGAGCCCCTACCTACTCCAGCCCGCCTCTCCTGCTTACAGCACCGCCAGCTGGGAACGAATCTGACAGAGCTGGGTGTCACCTACTGGCCATGCGGAGGGCGGAAAGCAATAGGAGTTTGGCCACCCACCTGCCCAGGCCACGATGCTGTCCCCTCCCATGTACCTCTGGGACTGGACAGCAGCCCCACTCTCCAGACATGAGTTGGCAGCAGGTATTGGAGGGGGGACAGCTGGTGACATTATCACAGGGGACATCTCTCTTCAAGGCTTGCGGGTCTGGCAGGCTGAGGTGAGCTGGGGTCTTCTCCATCCAGGACACCTGGTGAGTTCCCTGTTCACAGGTACCCTTCTGCGTGTCACACGTAAACCCCGCGGGACAGCAGTGTATATGGTCCTCACAGCACACAGCCTAGGGCAGATGGAGAAGGGCCAGTGGGCACTGGGGCCCAGTTGGCTGCCACACTGCTCAGCGCACCCACCCACCACCCCTGGGTACCTGGGTAAAAGGGCAGCAGCCCCAGGCCCCCGACTGTAGACGGCAGCAGGTATAGCCATCTGGGCAGCTCACCTCCATGTCACATTTCACGTCTCCCACTGTGAGGGAGGCAGAGAGGACAAGTCAGAAGTGGCACTGGGGACCCTCAGCGGTATCCACCCTTTGCCGGCTCCACAGCTGGCACCAGGTGTTGAAGATGGAGGGCACCACTTACACCACCTTGCAGTGATCCTAAGGCCAGGCCTAAAAGGGAGGAAAGAGGGCCCCACCCCTGTATCTGTGCCCTGCCTCTGGTACCTGTTTGTGCAGGCAGCTTAGTGAGGAGGTCCATGGTAGTGTTCTCCTTGGAGAGGCACTTACTCTGGATCAGGTCACACACAGTGTCTTGGGGGCAGCAGTGCAGGTGGTCGGAGCAGCAGATGGCCTGGGTGGGGACGGGTGAGTCTTTGTCACTTCCAGGCTCAGCAGAGCACAGGGAGCAGCCAGGCTGATGGCTGGCACTGCCCCAATCCTCCACTAGGGGGTGGCATGAACCCTGCATCAGCCAGGCTCCCAGCAAGCAGCCAGCCAGCCCCATGCCCCAGAGCCCTGTAAGGTGCATGTCAGGGCCAAGTGGCTGGGGGCACACAGCCAAGCTGGCTCCAGCCCCTCACTCACATTGGGCATTGGGCAGCAGCCATACTTCCCACTGGGCAGCTCACAGCAGGTAGAACCATCAGGGCACTGGGACCCTGCATCCGGACACATGACTGAGCTGGACAAAGCCACTGGAAGAGAAGCAAGTGTGAGGGGCAGCCAGGGTGGAGGGAACTTTTTGCCACACTTGGAGTCAATGAGGCCCCACCCCAGCCCCTGGCCTGATGCTCTCCCACCTCCTCACCTGCCCTGTTACTCCTCTGGGCAGGGATCTTCTTTGCCAGTGGGTGGGTGCCCGTGGGGGTGATGCAGCGGGTGTGAACCAGGTCGCAGAAGGCACCATGCGGACAGCAGTGCACCCTGTCTTCACAGCAGGAAGCCTGAGAAAAAATGGTCCTGACTCCGTCTTCACCCCTTGCCCCTGGCCCCCACCCTCTGCCCCCACCTCCCTCCACGTACCCCCGTCTCCCCAGATTTGTACCTGGGGCATGGGGCAGCACCCCCAGGAGCCATCGACCATAACGCAGCACGTGGAGAGGTCCGGGCATTCGAACTGACTATCAGGGCACTGGACGGCACCCACGGAGTTGTTACCTGTGGACAAGATGACCCGGGATTCTACCAGCCCACTCAGGGAAGGTGACTGCCCCATCGCGCACAGAGCTGGTGGCACCAGGGCCTGCAAGTCCAGCTACTGGGGTTTGGGGGTGACACTAGGGCTCAGTGATCTCCTAGGCATGCCTAACTCACCCTCCTCACAATCCAGTCCCTCCCTCAGCAAGATGGCATGGGGAAGGGGCACCCACTGACCATGGGTTGGCATTAGATCGGCTCAGCTTTACCTTTCCCCACCCCCACAATGCCTGGACTTGGAGTCTTGCACTTTCTCCTGCCCCTCCTATCCCCAGTGCTGCACCTCTGTCTACAGCAGGGGTGTTGCTTAGTACAGATGCCACATGAATGAGGGCAAGAGGGCAGGAATCGGGGCTGCCCCGCCAGCTGGGCTCCTGGGTTCCAGGCTCTACATGCTGCCCGTCTGTCTGCCCTGCACCCACATCCCGGCTGCACCTGATCTTTGGAAGCAGGATTGCCCATCTGCACTGCAGTGGAAGCCCCGTGGGCAGCAGTGATGGCCATCCCCGCACGCCACAGCCTGTAGGACACAGAGAAACCGGCATTGGCAAGGCCCTTTTATCTGCAAGTGGGAGACTGCAGGAAAAGCATCAATGCAGACCTAAGCCCCTCCATCGGGCTGATGGCACGCTCACCTCTGGGAAGGGGCAGCAACGGGAAGTCCCTGAGACGGTGAGGATGCAGGAGTGGCCAGCAGAGCAGTGCGCGCCAGCCTGGCAGGGGCCGCCCAGATGCCTGCTCAGTGTTGTGGGCCATTTGTCCTGGAAAGACAGGGGAAATGATAAACCACAGACTTGTGCCTGGCATCCTCCTCTGGCCAATCCAAGATGACCCTCTGGGAAAACCCAGGCTGCCAGCTTTTGCCTAGGCTGAGGGGCACTCACCAGAAGGGGACTGCAGCAGCTGTAGCTGGCTCCTCCGGGGTCCAGGCAGCAGGCCACAGGGCAGAACTGACCATCTGGGCACCATGTTCCAGCCACCAGCCCTACTGTTAAGGCCACCCAGCTCACCAGGGTCCACATGGTCTGCCTGCAAAGTACCAAGGAACATCTGGCAACTGCTTAAGCCCGTGCCACCCTTGATTCTAGGGCCACTCAGTACCCCAGTCCCAGGCCAAGGTCCTGGCCCGGGACTGCCTGAGCCTTCTCAACACCTCCCTGTCCAGGCAGGCAGAAAGCTGCAGGGGCTGAGAGTCAGCTTCCTACAGAGCCCTGTGTGTGACACATGCCCCAGCACGTGCAGACCTGTGAGCATGAATGCTGACATGCGTATATGTGTGGGCCTGAGTCCCCAGCACATGGTCTAACGCCTGGGCCTCACTGGGCAGGCTTATGAGAGTCAGGAAGACGTGATTTTTTTTGGTCTGATCTGTGCAGATGTGGGCCACCTCTGGGGTGGGGGGGAAGGCATCAGTAGCCATGGGAGAGGACAGGGCTGGGGTGCAGGGAGGGAGGCCCCCCAGGAAAAGCCAGGGTTCCCCTCCAGATGCCTCCTTGCCTGACACTGTGTTCATACCTGCACCCCACTAAGGCCTTGCAGGAAGCGGCCACATGATGACATGGAAAACCACAGGGGTGAGAAAGTTGTGATAAAGGAAGTACGGTGGCCAGTGGAATCTGGGCTGCCTTCCCCAGAGGCCAGTCGCCACCTGGCCATGAATGTCCCCTCCTCACCCAGGGAAGGGGACACAGAAGCTGGGTCAGCCTTTGAGATACCTGTGTTCTGAGGGTACCCCACACCACTAGGGCTCTCTGAGATTCCCCAAGCATGCTAACCCCCACCCCTGCCTCTCCATCTATTCTGGAAGTAAAACCCAGCCACATGTGGAGAGAGACCACGTGTGCCCACTGGGCTGCCCATCTGAGTCACCAGGAGGAACTGAGCCTTGAGTTTCTGCGGAGAGCAGCCTCTCACTTCCTAAACAACTCTTCTCCCAGGCTCATCTAGCCCAGCTAGCTCAGTGGGGTGGCCAGAGAGGTAACTCGTCCTGAAGAAGCGAAAACAGTAATGTCTGTTGAGCCTCTTGGGAGCCAGTTACAAGACTCTCCATTATTTTATTTCTTTGCAACAACCATCCAAAGTAGTAATTAATACCTTTACTTTACTTTTATTTTTAGAGATGAGATATTGCTATGTTGCCCAGGCTGGACTCAAACTCCTGGGATCAAGCAGTCCTCCAACCTTGGCCTCCCAATTAGCTGGGACTTTGGGAGCGTGCCACCAAGCCTGCTCACCCTTTTTTTTTTTTTTT